AATGGAGGCGTTAAATGCAAAACGGAACTAATTAGTTGAATTCGGATAGTTTTGACATTGCTTCGTAATCTGGGCATAACTCTTTCATCCGAGCTCCGATTGAGATGATTCAAAATGCTGTGGAACCCTAAGAAAGAGATCTACAACTTTCATGTTTGAGTTTGGAGAGATACTCACTTCATCAAGGTTGTAATCGGGCTTGAAGTTGACGCACCTACACTGCTGACGTTCTGGAACATTCCGCCTTGTCATGCAATTCAAATAGGCAGTTTACTATTGGAAGATTTGAAGACCTGTTGCACGCAAGTTACAGTTGGACACACCACTTTCCTATTCTATTTTAGGACTTTATTTTATTTTCAATTAATCAGAATCAGATTAGGATAAATGTTATTTTAAGATATTAGAATATTTTTAGGAGATTTAGTAGAATTCAAATACTTGAATTGGGTATCTTTAAGAGGAGAGAGAGATCAGATTAGGGGATTACACACACCTCTCCTTCTTCTCTTCTGGAATTTCTTTTTAAGTTTTGATTATGGCCATGAGCGGCTAAAACTTTTATAACTTGGTCGAAGGAAACGGAGGCCTCGGAATCAATAAAACTGTGAGATCTAATCTGTTTTTAGTGTTCAATATATGCTTTGAGTATTGGATGTTCTTCTGTGCCTATTTTCATGATTGATTCATTTAATTACTAGGAGGCCTACTAGTTTATTATTTGTTGCAATCTATTGCTTAATTAGATATCAAATCTGTAATTGTTTGATCCCTCTAATTTGTGAGTAAATAAGAGTTAAGAATTTGCTGCGCCCGAAATTGTTAAATCTTAAGGAGAACATTCGACTGAATTAAATACAACCGTTTGTGTTTGTGTTGTTCATCTTCATCGATCTCTCTAGTTCTTAAGGCTACCACTAGATTAAACCTTTAGCGCTTGTCTTGGGTTGTTTAGTAGTAAGATTAATTAGATCATTTGTTTCCTAATTAACTACAACTAAGGAGAGATAGGGAAATAGTTCCAACGGTGAATATTCAAAGTATGAATTAATTTATTTTTGCATCGATGATCAATTGTATAATTCTGATGGTGGATGTTGACTTAGACCAAGGTTTGTTATTTTGATTGATAATTTAATTTGAATTGTTTTTTTCCTGAAATTGTTTCTGTTTTACTCAAACGCCCCCAGCCTTGTTCACATAACATAAAATTCGGTTAGACACTCTCCGTGGGAACGATCCTTACTCACACTACTACATATGTTTTTAGGTTTTAATTTTGGTTGCCTATGACAGCACACCATGTACGATTCACCATCTAACTAAAACAATGAAATAGTCAAAACCATACAATAACTTACATAACTTTTTAAAAAGAACTATATAGCAAACATGATAAGCAATTGAACAGGAATATAACAATACAATAGCAAATAAATTCCAAGCAATTAAAGAAGCGTAGTCAAATGAATACATTACCTTCAACATAACGTAATTTCCAACTATGACGAAAAATATTATGTTCGAACCAAAGTATATAATTACATGAAATCAAAATAAAAAGTTTAACAATAAACTGGAAAACCAAAAGAAAACAATCACAAATAAGAATTAAAAATTGACTACCTCTCTTTCTTCAGATAAATCATGTAAAAAGCTGTTAATATATCGACATATATATATATAAGATTCAAAGTAATGAATATTGTAACTGATAAAATGTATCTTTTCACATTCACGAAAATCAATAATACACCTTATCAATCCATTAATGATCACATCTATTCATGCATCTATACCCTTTCACAAATAATATAAATGCGCCCCTTCACATTCAATTAGACAAAATCAACGAATCAAACTAAATTCATTAAAAACAATGAAACATAAAACAATAAATATGAAAGTGAAGTGTTTATATTTATCCAACATTTAGGTTGTGTTTGGTTAGGGTCGTGGGCAGATAACTCTTGTTATCTATCTTTGATTCCAAACATTCCTTTCTTTGGTTTGACAATAATATAAGATTTTGGGAATGTTTCATTCTCAATAATGAATATTGTTGATCATTTTGGGGGTTATCAAATTACCTAGTCTAAGGGTGTTAATCTTCTTTTGTCGGGGTTATCTTTTTTTTCCCAAATTTGCCCTTAAATAAAAGCCATTTTGGACTAAATTGCCCTTAAATGTCTACCAAATAATAATTACCCAGACTCCCTATATTTGAGAATTTAGCTAAAACACCCCAGCCACAAAAAGTTTAAAAGTTAACAAAATATCCCCAACCACCAAAGACCATAGTCGGCCACCAGCAATAGTCGCCAGATCAATGCACGACTGATGAAATATACCCAGTCATTCGCTGATTTGGTTGTTTCTGGCCATATCAAAGGCCGAAAATGGCCAGAATAGATTTGGTTGTTTGTGATCATTTACGGCCAGATCCACAACGATCTGGCTATTTTTGGCCTTCAATCTAGTTGTGGTTATCGCCATGGATCTGGCCATTTCCGACCAGATCTAGGCAATCTAGCTATTTTTGGCCTTCTACTTGGCCGGAAATAGCCAAAACGGCGCACAGCCTACCAAATCTTACCGATCATGCACCATTTCGGTGACTACCGCCAGTAACCTACAGTGGTGCCCGGGGTCGACGGTGGTCTTGGGTGACTAGGGGTATATTGTAAAAATTTAAACTTTGTTATTAGGTGTTTTAGCTAAATTCTCAAATATAAGGTGTTAGGGCCAAAAATCGTCCCCAGCCCAAATGAGAAAACGGGTCCAACAATGAGGGAAAGACTAGGCCCAGTCCCTTTGCGGTCCAATCCAAAACTCCCGGATTAGGCCCATTTGATACGAAGTACAATCGGCCCAAGCCGTCCGATCACAAGCCTTCTAGTCCCAGTTCACTTCCTGGACCTATGAACGAATTCAGAGCCCATGGATACTCATAGGTCACATGCCTATCCAAACACAGGTAAAGTAGCCCACTACAACTTCAACTCCTCTAAGGTCCTTGTTAGAGTCATACCTGGACTCCTCTTCATTCCGGGATAATGGGACTAGGAGATTTATCCCTAGAAGGAACCGATCACCACGAGAACTCCCAATCCCACCAGGATTGGTAGACCAGACAATCACTATTTAAACAGAGGCCAGCCCTCTCACAAGGCAGATTACACTACACCTACAGACCCCGGAGTTCTAGCTTGAGAACTTCACCTCATAGCCATAGTCACAGTCCCCGACTAGACTTCTAGTAACATCTCTACTCCCTAGCCCTCACTATACTAGCCTCTTTCAACCTTGCTGACTTGAGCGTCAGAGTGCCTACGGCAAACACCACCCTAGTGTTTTCGTCGCTTCACGCGTGTTTCTTTACGTGCGCAGGTATAGCAGATTGCTAGTGGCCTCAACCTCACAGGATCAATCCCTCCTTCTGTACCAGTAGATTTTTACGTCTAAGTTTAGCGCCCACCGTAGGGCCTCTAGTAATCATTCGACTCGACGAACCTTGCTACGTAGAGGAACTTTCCATGGATGACAATTCTGACAACGCAAATCCCGACCTCGAGGCCAAACTGGAGGCTTTGACCGCCCTCATGCAACAAAACTCAGACAAGGTAGCCGCACTGGAAGCTGAGAGCACTGCCATCTGGATCGAAAACGCCTCCATCAGGGCCGAGAACCAGTCTTTGAAAGAAAAGGTAAGCCAGTTTTATGACCTTGACCTTCTGCCTTCTCAGGTACCACCAAATCGGTTTCGCGTCTCGGTTCCATCTATGCAACCTCTCTAAACCCTAGAGCACGGGCTCGCAGCTTCAGATAAAAGGTCACGTCAACTAAGTTCGTCAGTGGTAGACGATTCGATCCTGATTCAGGGAGGAAAAGATCTGCCAATAGAACCCCGCTCAGCCGATCCATCACAACCTCAAGATCAAGACGCCCAAGTGATAGAAAACCTGTTCCAGCAAGACCAGCCCATCCTTGCCATCCCACCTCACCTTCAGTCCACCATCCCTACACAAACACCATTCGGCTCAGCTCACCCTCGCGGGTTGAACGACCATCCAAACCAAAGTATACCCCTCGAGTCCATCCATCCTAACGGGCCGAACGAATACCAAACAACCCCCCTGACCATCCATGTAGGACGAAACACCCGATTAGTTACAATGGGAGTCATCCCACTGGAGGGAATTAATGGCGATCTAGGCTACCAGGATTTACACGAAAGGGTGATACACCAAGCTACACCACGTGGAATGACTCAACAAAATATACTGAGTGCGAATGCAACAACAGAATCAGTCAAACGTGATGACCTAGTGGTATCCCCCTCTCCTATGGAACAGATACTGGCTAAGAGATTGGCTGATGTAGAGGCAGTGATGAGGCGAATACCAGGAATGCCGATCCCCACCAAGAAGAGCAAGCCTCACTGCTATGCTGACTCGCCCTTTGCGGATGCAATCGCCCTAGCCGACATGCCCCACAAATTTACTATTCCTAGCGTGAAGCCTTATGACAGCACAACCAACCCGGATGATCACATAGCCTCGTATAAACAACGAATGTTCACTATCTCCATACCCCGAGCGCTGAGGGAAGCTTGCATGTGTAAGAGCTTCGGTTTAAGCTTAGCCGGCCCAGTACTCCAGTGGTACACAAATCTCCTGAATGGTTCCATCGACTCATTCGCACAACTCACTGACACCTTCGTGAAGCAGTTCGCCAGCAGCAAGAAGCTCAAGAAATTGTCGGCCGATCTATACAGAGTATACCAGAAAAGGGGAGAACCATTGAAAGAGTATGTCAACAGATTCAACAAAGAGAAAATTTCCATTCCTGCCTGTAACCCCGAGACAGCCGTAGACGCATTTAGGAAAGGCCTCCTCCCAAATGGGGAATTGTACAAAGAATTGACGAAGCTTGGTTGAACAACGATGGAAGACGCCTTGGCCAGAGCAGTGACACAAATAAGGTGAGAAGAAGATGAGATGAATCAAGCAATCCACGCCAGGTACGACCCAAGGCGGACTGATAGGAGGCCAGATGCCAGACCGACGGAAACTCGTTACCAACCCCCAGCATGTTACTTGAAAAAAGTCAGGAAACCATATGACCGCAAGCCACAATATGACCGTCAGCCACCCAGAACAGATAATAGACAGGTCGGACCAAGCCGATACAAAATACTAGACTATAACCTCAATGTCGAACCAGCCCAAGTAGTGGCGATCATGAAAGGAATGGGATCTAGTGTTAGGTGGCGAGGCAAGCTCAACGCCGAAGCAAGGAGAGACACGACCAAATGGTGTGAATTCCACAGCGACCATGGACATAACTCCCCAGATTGCATTGCCCTGTGTTTGGAAGTTGCCACGCTATTAAAGAGGGGACATCTCCAAGATCTGCTGACAGATAAAGGAAAGCACACCATTAGCCAGAAAAGCAGCAAAGAAACATCTCCACCCCCGCGAGAGCCCACACCAAAAGGATTCTGCTCACTCATATCCGGGGGGTCAGAAATCAGCGGGGTCAGTTATTCATCAGCCAAACGATACACCAGGGCTAACAGCCACCATGAGATACAATCAATCCGCCCAGTTTCTCGGTCACACTCCCATCAGGTAATTTAGTTCGGAGACAACGAGCCAATCACCCAGACCGCCCCTCTTTATGATGCTCTAATCGTCTTTCTCCAGATCGCCAACATCCTTGTCAAGAGGGTGTTCGTAGACAGAGGGTCATCAGCGAACATTCTGTTCCTCGCAGTAGTGAAAGCTATGGGTTTGGAAGAAGAAAACATCAACAGAAGGCTGACCCTACTGGTTGGTTTTAGTTCTGAGTAGAAGTACACCATCGAAGAGATATTCCTTCCTATCTATGTCAGTGGAGTAAACAGACAAACTGTCTTCCTAGTGATCGACGCCCCTTCACCCTACAATGTCATCTTGGGCCGACCCTGGATCCACGACATGCGAGTAGTTGTTAGAGTAGATGCCCTAGAGCCAATCAATTATTCTGAAGTAAGGGCATAGATAATACGGTAAGGCTATCATAGTGTTGAACGACCCTGTCGAAAGGCAGTGACTGATCTCACTTGTCAAGGTTGCTTAGTGACAACCTGGTGCTACACATGGGTGCTTGCTGTAGGCGATTACACCGCAACAAGTTCACTGGACTGACCCACCAGAGGATTCCATATGGATGGTAACCCCAGTGTCTATGGAACAAATCCTCTAACGAATGGTGGTGCATGTGATCCTTAGACTTGAGATCACCGGAGCGCCTTGTGCACCGATTGGTGTAGTTTGACACTAGCCTAACGCAGTTCTTTTCAGAGCTGTCAATACGGTGGTGATTGGCTGCATCAAGGAGTGTATCAAGACTATGGTGGATTGACAGAGGATTCATCACTCCCGGGTATGGGAGAAAGTTATCTCACGGCGTAATTCAGTATATGGCAATGACAGTAAAACTGTGGCCACCGTGGGATTGAGTTGTTGCTCTATCCGGATTATAATACAGGTCATTGGTCCAGAAACTGAATACATAATATCGAGAGTAACAAGGTTGACACTATTCTCTGCCTTCGTCTCGTCGAGATAACGTATGATGAAAGGATCGAATTGTACGGAACCATATCGTTGCAGGTAGCTACTTTGCTGAATCCGAATCTATGGGTGGCCATGATGCCTTGCTAGGGCCAATCTTGGTTTGTGTATTAGTGAGACGATTAATTGGTGTTAATCGCGATACTATACACTGCCGATATGATGAGGAGCTATGGGTCACACACTAGAAGAAAATTTAAGATCCAAGAAGAAAGAAGGGCATTTTCGTCTTTTAAGGTGAAAAGGTATTTTGGTAATCAGTGCAATTAAATTTGCTGAGGTCGTAGCCCTATTTAATTTGTTAGAAAAATTAAATAAGTGAAATTACGTTTAAATGTGTGTCGCACATATTTAAATATATTATCATTATTGTTAAATGTTATATATATTTAAATATATAATTATTTTTATTAAGAAATGATGGAAAATAAAATAAATCAAATTGGGAGTGTTTGGCAACATGGGGGTTTGGGTTGGAGCCTAAGCCTATTCCGTATGGGATTAGGGCAAATTGTTTTTACATAAAAAGAAAAGTGTGTGATTTTCTTTGAGAGTTTTTTCTTTGAAAAACAAAACACACAGCCCCATTTTACACTCCCACGGCAGAACCAATTTTTGGCCCAAAATCAATTTCAATTGATTTGCTTTTCTTCTTAATCTTAAAGCTAAAGAGGATTTAGCAAATCCCTCTTGGTTTTTTTTGAGATTGTCTTCGGTGGACTACGCAAGTTGATCCTACACTTGGATCGGTAGCAAAACATTCGTCGACAAATTTGGAGGAGCCTCCAACGTGCGTTTGTTTCTCTTAACTCATGTTTAATATTTCTGCAGATTCTTATTATGATAAAATTGTAAAATTATACCCTTGATCTTGGCTCATGTAAACGATCCTGTTATATTATTTTTTTGTTTCCGCTGCGGATACGGGACCGTTTACTAACAGTAGTCCCATCCACTTTCCACCAAACAATCAGGTTTCCTACCAAATTGGGAGTACGAGAAATCAAGGGTGACCCGAAAGCTTCTAGAGATTGTTACAAGAATGCCTTCAAGGGCAAGGGTAACACTTCATAGCAACTACAGTCTCATCCAACCCTTCTGACCGAGCCAGATCAACCATCCATGAAAGAGTTGGATGAAGTGCAGATACACCCGGATGACCCTGAGAGAAAGACATAGATAGGTTCCTACTTAGGGCTCGAAACAAGAGAAAAGCTGATAGAATTCCTCAGACAGAATCAAGACTGTTTCGCCTAGTCCCACGCCGACATGACAGGAATAAGTCCAGAGGCCATGGTCCACCATCTCAAAGTAAATCCAGATCACCAGCCAGTGAAGCTGAGGAGAAGGAAATTCGCACCAGAGCGCAACTGGATCGTCAATGAGAAGGTTGAAAAGCTGTTGAGCAACGGTATGATCAGAGAAGTCCACTACCCCGAATGGTTGGCAAATGTCATGTTGGTAAAGAAAAAGAATGGAAAGTGGAAAGTCTGTATCGATTTCACGGACTTAAACAAAGCATGCCCTAAAGATTCTTTCCCGTTCCCGCATATCGACATGATGGTTGATGCGACTGCAGGCCACGAGCTTCTTAGTTTCATGGACGCTTTCTCAAGTTACAACCAAATCTTAATGCACCCAGACTACCAAGAAAAGACAGCCTTCATCACGGAGAGGGGAACCTACTGCTACAAAGTGATGCCATTCAGTCTAAAAAACGTCGGGGCTACCTATCAATGACTAGTTAACAAGATGTTTGTCGAACACCTCAGGGATACTATGGAGGTTTACATCGACGACATGCTGGTCAAGTCCCTGATAGCCGAGCAGCATCTTGACCACCTCAGCCTGGCGTTCGCTGTCCTAAGGAAATATGACATGAAGTTGAATCCAGCCAAATGTTCATTCAGCGTCTCATCGGGTAAATTCTTAGGCTACATGGTAACTCAGCGTGGGATAGAAGCCAACCCCGACCAGATCAGAACGGTCCTCAGTATACCATCTCCATCTTGCATAAAAGACGTCCAGCGCCTGGCAGGACGGGTATCCGCCTTGAGCCGATTCATCTTCAGATCCGTCGACAAGTGCCACATTTTCTTTCATGCACTCAAGAAGTTCGACAAGTTCGAGTGGACCACCTCCTGCGAGGAAGCCTTGCAACAGCTGTAAAGGTACTTGACCTCCCCTCTGCTTCTTTCCAAACCTGTGGATGGGGAGAAACTTTACACTTATCTGGCGGTCTCAGAGACAGCAATCTCAGTAGTGTTAGTTCGGGAAGAAGACACGAAGCAGCTACCGGTCTACTATGTCAGCAAGTCACTCCTCGACACAGAAACACGGTACAGTCAGCTGGAGAAATTGGCCCTCGCGCTCATTCATGCATCCAGGAAACTTAGGCCGTACTTCCAGTGCCACCCCATAGTCGTCCTCACCTCCTTCCCACTCAAGAAGATACTACACAAACCAGAGTTATCAGGCCGACTCACACAGTGACAGTGGAGCTTAGTGAGTTCGACATATCATACCAGCCTCGCACTACCGTCAAGTCCCAAGCATTGGTAGACTTTATTGCTGATTTCACCCCAAGCACCACCATGTGAGCAGAGGAAGAAATATTATGTATGGACAGTGGGTCACCCTCCAAGTGGACTCTTTCAGTGGATGGATCAAGTAACGTGAATGGAGGCGGACTCGGGTTAATACTGACTACACCAGAGGGAGACGTCATCCAACAGGCAATACGGTGAGGGTTCAAGTGCACAAACAACGAACTCCCGACTGACAACCACCAACCGATTGCTGGTATTAAATACATGAATGATTGGCTATAGTGCAAGTGGGAGATTGTTAGAGTAGATGCCCTAGAGGCAATCAATTATTGTAGAATTGACTCTTTGTGATAATGTTCATTAATCAATAATAAAAGGCATTTTATTCTATATCGCGTAAATCATTATTATTGCAATATGTATTGATATATGTCCTTAGAATGGTAGAACCGTGACGAGGGTATCAAGTGTTTCAAATCTTGATAGTGAGAACCCTATGAGCACATATGGTGGCCATTCTAGAAACGTCCGTAGCCCCAGTATTATTCTGAAGTAAGGGCACAGATAATACGGTAAGGCTATCATAGTGTTGAACGACCCTGTCGAAAGGCAGTGACTGATCTCACTTGTCAAGGTTGTTTGGTGACAACCTGGTGCAACACATGGGTGCTTGTTGTAGGCGGATATACCGCAGCAAGTTCACTGGACTGACCCACCAGAGGATTCCATATGGATGGTAACCCCAGTGTCTATGGAACAAATCCTCTAACGAATGGTGGTGCATGTGATCCTTAGACTTGAGATCACCGGAGTGCCTTGTGCACCGATTGGTACAGTTTGACACTAGCCTAACGCAGTTCTATTCAGAGCTGTCAGTACGGTGGTGATTGGCTATATCAAGGAGTGTATCAAGACTATGGTGGATTGACAAAGGATTCATCACTCCCGGGTACGGGAGAAGTTATCTCACGGCGCAATTCAGTATATGGCAATGACACTAAAACTGTGGCCACAGTGGGATTGAGTTGTTGCTCTATCCAGATTATAATACGGGTCATTGGTCCAGAAACTGAATATATAATATCGAGAGTAACCGAAGGTTGACACTATTTCTATGCCTTCGTCTCGTCGAGATAACGAATGATGAAAGGATCGTATTGTACGGTAACCATATCGTTGACAGGTAGCTACTTTGCTGAATCCGAATCTATCGGGTGGCCATGATGCCTTGCTAGGGGCCAATCTTGGTCTGTGTATTAGTGAGACGATTAATTGGTGTTAATCGCGATACTATACACTACCGGTATGATGAGGAGCCTATGGGTCACACACATAGAAGATAATTTAAGAGCCAAGAAGAAAGAAGGGCGTTTTCGTCTTTTTAGGCAAAAGGGTATTTTGGTAATTTCACAGTGCAATTAAATTTGCTGAGGTCGTAGCCTATTATTTAATTTGTTAAAAAATTAAATAAGTGAAATTACGGTTAAATGTGTGTTCGCACATATTTAATTAAATCATCATTACTGTTAAATGTTAATTAAATATTAATTGATTTTAATTAAGATAATGATGAATTAAATTAAAATATCTAATTGGGAGTGTTTGGCAATATGGGGTGTTTGGGTTGGAGCCCAAGCCCATTCCATGTGGGAATAGGGCAACTTGGTTTGCCTATAAAAGGAATAG